CCATTTAATCATTGCACTAACTCGATCACAGTTCATCTTTCTCCACTACGACTCTTATTGCCGCCACTTCCTTCGTGTCCGCCTACCATTTCCAAATAGCACTATGTTGCCCTTCCACTTGATTGATTCATTCTCATCCCGACATTCAATTCAATTTTGGTTACATTCACTCACCACCACAAAGGAGCGATGTTTAACTTACGTTCCTCAATCCCTTTTATTCATGAAGTTCCCTTCCTCCCAGCAAGCTGATAATGCTGCTCTTCGACTGAAGCAACACTTCTTTAGACCATTCCGCAGTTTTTGTTTTTCTTTGTTTTTAGGGTTTTCTTTGTTTTTAGGTTTTTGTTTTTGTTTTTATAGGTTATTTCATTTCTTTATCGGTTTTCACTAGTTTTTTCTTTCCGTTGTTTTTCTTTGCATTTTTTTGTTTCTTTCTTGGTTTTCATTGGTTTCTTGGCTTTCTTTCATATTTTGTTCGTTCTTTCTTGGTTTTAATCGATTTTCTTTGTCATTCTTTCTTTTTTTTTCTCAGTTTTTATTGTTTCCCGTTCTTGTGCACATGTTTCCTTTTCCTTTTCTCTTTTGATCTCTTTGTTTCCTTTTTAATTTTTTATTGGTTTAATTTTTTTCTTTCCTTTTGTATAGAATAGGGAGCATTTTTATACACATTTAACATTATATTCAAATACATGAAACATTTTTTGTGTACACATTGAACAATGGTTCAAATACATTATTAACATTTCTTTTGAAACATATGTTGGTGATGTCAACTTTATTTATACACATTCTACATTTCTTGTGTACACCAGGAACTTTTTATACATGTTTAGCATTTTTCAAATACATGCATGGCATCTTCTTATATACTAATTTTTCTGTATACAATGTACATTTTGTATATATCAGGAACTTTTCTAATACATATGTAAAGTTTTTGAAAAATATTTGATTATTTTTATACATGGTCACAATTTTATAAAATTTATGGTTTTATGTCCTTTTTTAATATACGTTCTAAATATTTTGTAACACTTTAAATTTTGTAAATACATGAACATTTTATCATATAAATGTTTTGATGTCTGCTTTTTTCCACACACCTTATATATTTTTCATATACATTTGAAACATTATTTATACATGTTTAAAATTTTTAAAATGCATGATAATATATTTTCAAACACGGGTTTGTGAACATTTGTTGTCCGAATATGTGTAAATATGTTTTTTAGTATATCTTGAATTTTTCCCCAGATGGTATCAACATTTTTTTAATGCACCAACTTTTTTGTAACGCCACACAAACAATCTTTTAATCTTAAGTATTTTTTCAAATATATATAGGTAAATTATATATTTGTATGTATATATTATGTTTATTTGAAAATATATCAAAAAAAGGAAAAAAATAAAAGAAAAATGAGATGGAGGAACGAACTAAGGAATCAAACGAATGAAATACGAAATGAGCGATCAGTCTTACTGGGCTGCCCCATTCTCACGTTGCTTCAAGCTAGGTGACACTCTGTCTCGCTTCAAGCGAGATAAAGTCGCACTCGTCACCTAGCGTGCTATCCGCCATTTACCTTTTTCTTTTTAAGGCAAGGCTGTGATCCTGAGGCTTGGGCCAGTTTTTTTCACGCAGGATTCTGCGGAATCATGATTCTGCAAAATTTCTCTCAGAATCTACTTCCCACAGAATCTGTCGTCGAGTTCTTTCCTGAGATTGTAGTTTGAGATTGTGGAATGAGTGTGTGTGCATAAATGTCTGTTCGACCCTTAGACAGAACTATTTGATGAAGGGTTAACATATTGTTGTTTCGAATAGTGTCTTACTGAATATGAGCACGAAAGTGATTTGCAAATATCGTAAAGCGCTAAATATTAGAATTAGAATGGTTTCAAAGTATTGTGTGTTACAAAAGTGGATGAACTAAATAGAACATGAATAATCTCAATATACGAGACTGGCAGCAATAGCCTCACGTGTTGCGGTCATGGTACCATCATCTTCTCGTGGTAGAGCGTTGGCTCCTGTAAAAGAAGAATGGAGGTTGCACATATGCATCATTGTTAAACTTGTCAAAAGGCTCATCATGTATCTTGCTATCACGAATCCAATTGTGGACATATATACGTGCAATGACAATCATCTTGTGGGTTTCTTGCTTGTACGCTGGTATGCCTCTGAGAATTTGTCATTTTATCTTGAGAACACCAAATGCGCTTTCGATGATATTTCACAAAGAAGAATGACGATGGTTGAATGTCTCATGTCTCCAAACCGAAGGATGTTGCTAGAAATCTGGTACATGGTATTGTCGCCCTTTGTATCGTAATATTTATCTGTAGTGGGGCAACAAAAGACACTAGAAATTTACAACATACCATCCTGTATATAACAATATGGACATACAAGGGATTACCTGTGGGGGTTGTGGAAAATGATGATAACAAACTATATCATCGCTGAAAGTATGTTTCTAATCTCGAGCCAAATGCTCCTGCCATGAACAGTAAAACCGAAAAAATAGAACTTTTTTCAAAGAATTCTTATTTTCTGTGGCCTTTAAGAAATGTTTGAAGTGCATTCAAATTTTGATCATCAAATCACATTGGAGCAAGTCATGGCAAAAAAAAAATTAGAGCTAAAAAATGTGTTTGAAAGTAACATTTTCAGAGTACCTATTTCTTTTACCACGTCTTGCACCGATGTGATTTTGTGATGAATTTTCACATGCACTCCAAAAATTCTTTAAAGTTTGCCAAAAGAACATTTTTTTAAAAAAAATTCTATTTTCTTTAATATACTATCTATGCAGGAGCATTTGAGTTCAAGCTTAAAAACTCCACATCCTATCATCGCTCACACACGTGTGTCATGAAGAGATCTGAGCCATCCAGGAACAACAAACGTGAACCTCATAACAAATTCACATCAGGCCTAGCATGATGACTCCCCGACTGTCTACTACAACAATGTTTGCCCGACTCCGATGAGGGAGGGACGATGAAGGCGGAGCGCCTTCGGCTCGCTCCAGTGCTTGTAGTCGTTGCTAGGTGGTCTACTGACCTGGATGTAAATCTTACTTCTGGTGTTCTTTGTACTACCTTGACAGTTGATGAATATATTAGAAGTTTTCTCGCAAAAAATAATAATAATTCATAACATTTTCACTTGTTTAACCTTTCCTATTCCTGTGTTGGAGCTCCAACTCATTGGTCAATGTCTGCTCCATCTATGGCTCCAATAGCATGTTGGAAATAAGGCCAAAAAAAACTTTTTTGTAAGCATTGGGTGAGGTTCAATAAAAGTTGGATCAATTGGTCTAATGTAATCATCGGCCATAGTGGTCTGACATGTACCCACAAAATCGAGTTCTTTGCGCTCAAGAATTTTCAGACCGAGATTTTTCATAATCTGCTCAAAAGAACTGGGCCTTATAGTATATGCTCATCGACGGAAAAGACAGTCTCTGTTTTGGGCTATTCCAGCTCACTGCGATGCTCGGGCTGGGCCTCTTTCCGCCAAGACTGGCCCAGTAGACTGCTCTGGGACCCGAGCCGAGCCCAACCACGTCCCGTTTCCTCTCTACAGCAGAGGCGGAGGACGCGGTGCTCTCACTTGGCTTCGCGGGAGGGGAGGGAGACGTCGTCGTCGTCGTCGGCGTCGGTTGCGTCTCCACTCCGCAGGTTAGCCGCCGGCCTCCTCCTGCCCTTCCTACTCCTCCCCCCGCCTAGGGTTTGGTGCTTCATCAACCAGAGCTGTCGTTGTTCCTCGCAGGAGTCGCAGCCGCAGGCACCGCCGCCTCCCTCCTCCTCTCCGACGAGCTCAGCGCGGCGCCCCCCTCGCCGCGGAATCCGTTTCTCCTCCCGCTTCCGCACGTCCGCTGGTCCAGGTGAGAAGCACGCCCCCCCTCCTCCCCCCTCCCCCTCCCGCAGCAGCAGAGGGCACGCATTTCCTGCTGGGTACCGTACGCTCCAGGGTGGATGTTCGGATTTGGGATCAGAAAATTTTCGGGGGCTCGGGGCTCGGGAAGGTTGTGAGGTGAATCAGCGAACCGGCTGTTCTTAGTTATTCGTGTGATTTATGAATGCCTGTACTTGAGAAAGGGGAGGGTTCAGCAAGGGGATTTGGATGGGGAGGGTTCAGCAAGGAGCCTGATTGCTGCTTAGTGCTCTGGATGGTGATATTCTTACTAAGTGGCATGTAATGTCACTTGACATGTTTCTATTGCATTGCTTAGCCTATGACATTGCTGTAGTATGAGTTGTGCTGTGTGATGTTCCTTCTACGATGACAGATTCTGTCTGTCCATGCATTTGTAACCGAGTCACCTGCTGATGTCGAGATTTGTTTGCTATAATATATAGTTTACTCGAGTTCCTAGTTGCTGGTATGGTTCATCAATGCTTCCTAATGGTGCCAATCCTTCTAATTTCTTAGTCTATGAGAAAAATTGGTTGCTGACCCATTATATGTAGATATATCTCCCCTTGCTGGTGTCAATATTCAGTTGCTTCCACAAAGTTAATTGGTCAAGTACTAGTTGGTTCCTGCTCTAAACCATTTGTAATCCTGTCACCTGCTGATGTTGAGGTTCATATGTTATAATGTATAGATTACTTGAGTTCTTAGTTACTGGTGTGATTCATGAATGCTTGTTTGTGGCGCCAGGGCTGTATTCGTTTCTTAGTTCATACCAAGCAGATATGGCAAATGATTGGTTGAGCTCTGGTGATTTTCTTAGTGAGTACTAGTATGCAATTTCACTTGACCTGCTTCTAGTGCGTTGCTTAGCCCAATCAATGTGCACCCCGTAACGGCTTCTCCTCGCCTCGCCCCTTTCCCCAAGTAGAGCTTGCATTTGATCCGTGGTGAATTTCATGAACAATTGTTTTTAGATGGATGCACTAGAGAGAAGTATGAGGTTATACTTATGATCGCTGAGTAGATTTTAGTATATAATTGTTTCAGCAAAAGCGAATCCACCATGGGTCAAGGTCCTTCCGTGAGCCATGAGAATAGCACAATCGAATATGCTGCGGGATCTAGGAAAGGATCAAACTCAAAAGTTGAAAATGCTGTGAGTATTGCACCATTTCGCAGCAATCTAGTAAAATGCTGTGAGTGATGAAGTAATGTGCTGAAATCCTAACTTTAGTTTTCTCCCTTACTTTTTCAGCATCGCACTATCCTTGACTTAGATGGCTCCAGCTCCACATCATTCTTTGGTGTTTATGATGGCCATGGAGGTTTGATTTCATTCCTGACCTTATTACAGCAATTCTGAACTTCAATCTGTAGCATAACTCATTGTTTCCAGATTTGAATTGTGCATTGAGTAATGTCTTTGAGTTTCATTTTTTTAGCAAGTGTTGTGATTTGTGAGGAATAATCCGAACATTCCTTTTGATCTCTTTTTCTCTGATAGAGGGGAAGGGTCACGTGTGTATAAAAGATTCTCACTATGTTGTGTGTACCATTTCTTTCCAGTGATACATATATATTGGAAATTTAGCTAGTCCTGTTCATTACATTCTTTTGGATATAAGCTTCTAGTGCATTATATTGGTTTTGCATTCTTGTTATGAAAATGCCAGATTGAGCTATGCATTTTGTGTTTCAGGAGCTGATGTAGCATTGTATTGCGCTAATAACTTCCATAGAGTGCTGGTAAACGATGGAGATTATAAGGATAATTTGGATGTGGCACTGAAGCGTGCGTTTGCCAGGTAATTTAACAATCATGTAGTCAACATTCAGGCTGCATAACTGTTCTCCTTTGTTGGAAGCAGTGAAATATATAACATTGTTACTTCTTAATTTCTAACATTGTTCTTTCTTTATTTGTAACATTCATGGATATTATAAGGATAATCTGGATGAGGCACTGAAATCTGTAACATTGTTCCTCCTTAATTTGTTGCAGAATGGATGAGCAAATGGACCAAAATGATGACTGGAGGACATTGGCTAATCCTCCTGGTGTTGGTGTCAAATTGCTATGTTTTCCGAGCACTCCCCCTCGTGTCCAGGTTTGGGTTCTTCCATGATTATGAAGTAATTCTACAAGATTGAGGTTTTGAAGAAGTTGATTAGGATTCTATCTATGCATGCTGTTATTCATATAAATGGACTGGAAGGGATCAATTGCTGTAATAGGATGTGAATTGTTTGAAGAAGTTATGTTCTCTACTTAAATACCACATTCTAAGCTCTTCTTGGTTATTGCACCTCGGTTGTTTTATCATACTGCCAAAATTTAGGTATGACATAACTCTTTCATGAGTTCGAATTGCTCATCTGTTTGGTTTGCTCTTATATTGAAGGGACCTCCATACGTGGAAGGGAGCACGGCATGCGTGGTTGTCATTAGAGGAAACCAGATCATTATTGGGAATGTCGGCGACTCTTGTTGTGTACTCTCAAGGGATGATGGTCGGCAGGTATAGTGACGGTTTCATTATTAAATTTCTAGTACTTATTTGTCCAACTCTTTCTCATGAGAAATGCTTTCAATGAGTATCTAAGAATTCTTCGTATTTTAATTAATCTAAAGGCAATTGAGTTATCGACCAAGCATACGCCAGAAAATGAGGATGAAAGGAAGATAATTGAAAATGCCGGAGGGCAACTACTCAATGCAGGTGGCGCTGATCTTGTTAATGGGATACTTCCTTTGACAAGAGCTATTGGTATAGACTTATCTGATTTTTTTTGGTTGGTTGCATAATTGCATTAGTTTCACCGCACTGACATTTTGCATACTTGCATTTCAGGTACCTTCCGTTTCAAGTCACCTTCTGCAGGACATATTGTGACATGTATTCCAGACATTGACATTGTAAGTTTGTTGTTTAAAGGTCTTCGTGGAGTATAAAAACTTGTTTCCATGGGTGTGTTATAATGGAAATCAATTTTTTTGCTAGGCGGACATCACTCATGATACCGAGTATCTCCTTATAGCAAATCGCGCATTTTGGTTAGTCCCCTGCTAAAATAAGTGGTTACTTGAAATGTGTGCTTTATTCATCTTGCAAGAGCTTAATTAATAATCTTATCACTTCATAAAACATTCACACCAATAAGATCATCTGAAGTTGTGGAATAACATATCTTGTGCCGTAGTATTCTACTCAGCTGGGGGAATGCTTTCAGACATCATTTATATTGCTCTTAATGCTAAAACATTGGACTTTTTTGTTCCCCTCCCCCTTTCAGGGATACCACTCCTATATCAAGTGAGATGGCTGTTAAGTATTTGAGGCAGTATTCTGTAAGCCCTTTTTTACTCATTCATTTTTGCTGTTGTTAATTGATGTGGTGTATGCCTAACAAACATGTTGTGTCAACACAGGGGAGCTATAGTGTTGCTAGCATGTGCGATAAGCTTCTGAATCTTTGCCGCAACCCGGTGGACAACTTGACGCTGATACTGGTTTACTTCAAGCCGAGTGCGAGGCTCCCACGTCCGGCCCCGCCTGCTCCCACCAACTTGTCCGTGCCTGTGGTTGTTTAGCGAGCTGCACGTAAGGAGCTCTGACTGAAGTCTTGATCGAGTAGGTAGAGAGAGCTCATGGGTCTGGAAGTTCTGCAGTGCTATATGTTTCATGTCTTGACGTGATGCCTCTGTGCACGAGAATGATGATAACATGGCGTAGGTAGGAGTTATTCAGCTTACACTAATACTGATTGCTGCATGCTTACTGAGAACTGTTCAGGAGATTTTGCCTTGGAGTTGGGTTTTTCACACGCTTTGTTTTCCGCGTTTCACCTGATACTGTAAATTCTATGAATTCCTCTGTGCTGCAGAGTACTATGCCTTTCTGAATCTGAATCGCACTGAATTCTTGTTTCTGTAGATCGACTAGTGCTTCTGTAGATGCTCACCGCTTTCAGAATTCTTGTTTGTTATTCTATATATTAACCCCAGCCTAGTGTTGATACAAATAACAAAACTAGATTCCATCAGCAATGCCAAGTGAAGATCATTTACTTGCTCCTATAGCTCTAGAGCACGTCATCTTTTTTATAAGTATATATTGCTTAAAACCATCACATTTTGTGGCTAGTGTAACAGGTTGCCATCTACAAATAACCACCAACTCTGCGGGAGTTAAATGGAACCACACGATTGACTGAAAACTACCACTTTACGTTTCGTGACATTTTGCATTGAATCGAAAATTTGATTGTGGCAAAAAACACCGAGCCATTTTCTGAGCACGTTTTGACGTGGCTGATCACTCGTGTGCCGACGAGGGCTGTCGACAACTGGGCCGGCAACGATCCAATCAAGAAGGCTATCGGCCGGGAGCTAGCCGAGCGGTTCAAGAGCGTTCCAGCACTCGTCAATCACGCCAGAGGCCTCATGCCAGCGTTCAGGGATGACGAGAGGAAACCAGTCTTCCCCGATGGCCGCAGGGGTGTGACGACGGTTGCCGCCCTCGTCTGGTGCATGCTGAGTCTATGTCTGCCGATGTTCAGCAGGGGAACCATTGGATCACGTCAATCACGCCAGAGGCCTCGTGCCAGCGTTCAGGGATGATGAGAGGAAACCCGGCTTCCCCGATGGCCGCAGGGGCGTGCCGGCGGTTGCCACCCTCGTGTGGTGCATGCTGGAGTCCATGTCTGGCGATGTTCAGCAGGGGAACCAGTGGATCATGTATCCGACTTTGAAATGCAGGTTTCTGGCTGATCCAGCGGACGCTTGCGTGGTGGTCAAGGTATCACTACAAAAAAAGATACATCCGTGACATTTTGGGCCGAACGAATTTTTGTTATGTCATACTTATGACACTTCTATGCCGATAATTGTGACAAAACCCAGTATCATCATAGATGTGGTGGGCTCCTACTTCTATGACAAAAAATCATGACAGAAAATTGGCTTTTCGTTCAGGGCGGGCCGGAGACGCAGCTGCATGACATTCTTTGGGCCGTCCACGACGGAAAAAACCGTGGTAGAAGCGAGGGCGAGGAAAATATCGGGGTGTTCCCGCTTACAGTGGGTGGTCGGGGCTGAGTGATGCGCGTTTCTCTCATACACGTACGCGTGTGGGTGCGAGGCGTTGGGCTGTAACTGAACCCGAGCGAGGTGTTCGCCTATACAGAACCCGAGCGATTGCACTACAGGCTACGCGTCACTGAACCCGAGCGATCGATCGATGCATGGCTGTTAACTGAACCCGATTGAGCGATTCCTTTTGCTACTGCTGCTAGCTGAAGCCGATCGATGCTGCCTCTGGAT